AAGACGTTTTCTCTTTGAACGCTGTTTGTGATCGTTGCCAAATAGGTAGAATATTTTCGTCCTGATCCTTTCCGTAACGATCATTCTACGTTGAGACTCTTAGTCTCTGGATATTTCAACACCTATTACGATTTCTTTCTGGTGTAAGTGGCTGAAGAATGCTGCTGCAGAAATGTTGTATTCTCCACTCCATTTTTCCAAGTGTCGGCATTCAGAACCGGAGTTCAAGTTGTCCAACAGTGACGACCAGGTGGCAAAGTAGAAGGCAATTGACAGTGGAATGAGTAATCCGGACAGATAGGAGTTAAAGTTAGAGCAGGCTTACCAGTAACGCCTGGCCTCTGGCATTGAGCGGTGCAAGAGAAATTTGGCCTTGATGTCAACCAACTCCAAGCTGTTGTTACCGCCTTCAAAAGCTAGTGTATCTGATGGTCGATAGAAGCTCCAGGGACGGTGGTCAGGAGTAGATTCAGGTAGACGATCGGCAGGTCGGGTAGGTGACGATTGTACCAACTTTTAAACCGCACTGAGGCTAGCGATCAGCATTGACAGGCTTTGACCAAGAAAGAGGAAGACCGTAGATAACACGGAGCTCAACTGATTCGTTGGTGCAGCAAGAGCGCAGTGGTCTTTGCGCGACAAGGCGCTGCTTTACATAGGAACGCTGGGTATCGATCCATGAGCGAACATCGCCACATGAGGTACACTCAAGGTAATCGATTGAATTTGTGTTCACTCACGCTCGCTATGAATGTTCGATATGCGAATTGCCTGGGTTGGATTTTCCCGCTTTTGATCCGATTCGGCTTAAACTAATTTCTTGACGAGTTCTAATTTAATCTAGTCTAGTGTTATTACAATCGTGGTTGGAGGAAATGAGATGCAGGGCTTAACAGGGTGTGAAAAACACTTTTCCATGCATTTTCAGGTCAGCGCCAGAGTGAACCCTGTCGATCCTTCATGTCGGCGTCCAGAACCCTTTTTCTATTTGCGACTACTACTTCTGCTGAAACCAAAGAGCGTCTTCTTATTTCTTCATACACATCGCATTCACCGACACCGAATTAGCATGCGCTGCAGGGTGTAGGAGATCTGCCTGAAACATACAACACCATCTCAGTTGTTTCATCCATTTCAAGAACACTATCATTTTGATAAAGTTTGAAGCCTTGTACTGCAGAATGTTTTGCTCAAGTCTGCAGTAATTGGACATTTGGGTAGTTTTTTGTCTGATTTGATATCTACAAGGGAATGTCAAAATCGTTTAGAATCAAAAATTTCCGACCACAATAATTCTGTACATGGATAATATATTCGATGAATGACTCGTTTTTATTTTCAAAAGTTAGACTGTTCTACACACCTACCTGAAAAACTGGCTGACCATTTCACTAGAAAAAGGAGGTGCACAGGTTGACAGTTTCGAGTACAAGACGTCGCTAAGTGGCTTTGGTAGTCACCCCTGAAAGGGCTGCTTCTTTTCCAACGATCACTTCAGCAAATATCGTAACCTTGATTGGCAAGCTTAACCAATCAGCGTCAGGTGTAAATTTGCTCGAATTCAATCTCACGCATTTGTTTACTTGATTTAAATTGGTTTGTAAGAAGATCGCGTTTTGGGCTATTGATTTGTGTCTAGGTTTGCACACGAGAAAGTTCAATTTGAATCAAGAGGCAAATTTGGCCCCCTGCTATGCCGTAGAATCAATTTACCGTTCCTTGATTTAGTCGACTTCTTTTCGACTAATTGAGAAATTCGATAACAATCGTGTCGAAGTTTCGAATACGGTTGGAATGTCTTCACTGCCCCCAGCTCAGTTGCAATCTATTTGAGGAATTCAGAGAATAGGTAGTGATGCAAGCGACAATTCCGGTTAAGTTTTTGTTGTCGATATTAGGAAATCATTTCAATTTAGCTCAGTGTAAATAATCGATAATGTTTCGTGTAGAATTTATGCATGCTTCATTTGGATTGTTTGGTTTTTGACCGGACAAATACGGTTTCAGTAGCCTTGGTACACTCGTATTATTTTAATACTTTCCCGCAACTCCGTTGCATATGAAGTCCCCACATTTTTGCATTTTGTACGACAGAAAATTATACTTGCTGGAAACAGGTCCCAAACTAGGCGTAAATCTATCTATTGATGGCAATCGACGCATCATGGCGATAGACGAATCCTGTGCTGAAAGTCGATCAAACGGGCACTCACAGCTCTTCATAAGGCTTTTATATTATCGCGTTCCTAGGACCCATGGTTAGTTCTTAAAATGAATTTCTCATTACTGCCAAACATCCACTGCATGAATCGACGTGTATCACTTGGAATGCTCAATGATAGATGTTGACTTCTTTTGTACCGAGTATCGTTGGAGATCTATCGGTTCTCTGTAGGCAGTGGTTCTTCCTCGATTTTCGTTACGATAATCTAGCACCTTGCTTCGACCATCGCACAGAATGACACGTTTTTCTGCACCGAAACGCAACAACTAATCTGTTCCACAGTTATCTTGCAAAGATCAGCATTTCAAAAATGCAGTTGACCTACACGCATCTGGCGCCCATCATTCATCAGTGAAGTCAGTAATGTTTATCCGTATGTGCGTCGTCGCCATCAATCTGGCTCAGCTATGCTGTGCCAAGAACGCTAAAAAATCCACCATGAGTAAATATTCCGACGGTTTTTTTTATATAAAACTAGGTGTGTGGCTTACTTTGTACAGATTTCGTGGCAGTTGCACTTCCACCGAAAGCCCGACCACAGTTGAATTACAGCTCCCTGCAGATCTGTCCACATCGGTTTCTTGGTGCTGCATTCAACTATCTTCGTCTAGCAGCAGATGCCATTTCAGAATGGACTTCTTAGTAGGAATAATCGAGCCATTCGACCACAGTGCTTCGACACTTTCTCCAATGCCATTCTGTTGCTCCTGAACAAAGCAATTAGGTGTATGGCGTAATTTTTACATATTTTTTAGCAAATTAATTCTCATCGAAAATCGACAACAAAGAAGGGACTCGAAGAAATGTGTCATCCTTCAGGTGAGGTTCAAGCGCTGTCGAGAAAGAATCTTGTCGTCTTCGAGGCAATAAACTCATCCACGAATTTACGCACATTGTCTAGCGTTTAGAGCTGTTCATTCACTGAGGCGTGCTGCTGCGTTGACTGGAACAAGTAGTAGTTGGATGGGGGACAGGTCTCGTGAATATGAGGTGCGTTTGGGAGAATTTTTCGAGTCGCGCGAGCAATGTGAGGGGGTGGAGCGGCAGTATGACTTGGCTCCTTCGTTACCCAGTAAACGACCCTTTCTGATGCAGTTCCTCACTCAGTTTGTTGAATTGTCAGCTGAGTCTTTCCCCAGTCACCGTCTAATGACCCGTTTCCAGGAATTTGTGGCAAATTACATCCTTCATGTCCCACCAGTTACAGAGGAGAATCTTCTTCTTCAAGTGGATGTTCAGTTTCGGCGTCGATGTTCCCAAGAATTTTACCCTTTGGGATTGTCGTAAAAAATATACTTTTCGTCACTTGTCACAAGTTTCCACAGTGGAAGACATGTGTTCATTCATTGATCTAGGGCTGTGTTCGGCCAACACAAATGGGGGGACCCAACTTCCAAGTTATTGATTTTATGGCATTAGATACAGACACTTGGAAATGTCTGTTTTGGTGACCACTGAGTGAGCTGCAAGCCCTTGTTGGACTTGCGTTGAGTCTTCATCCAGTTGTGCTTGCAATTCCACGCCTTCAAACCTTCAAGGCTGTCCAGGGCACGGCTGGTCAAAAAGATCGAAATCGCCACCTCTAGAACGCTTTTATCAATAATCGCATTTTCTCAAAGCCATTAAAGACTGCAACAATATTTCTATTTTAAATATAATTTGATGATGTAGAAAAAGATCTTTACACAGAGTAATTCAGGGAGCTGGGTCAAATACAACTTTAGGTAAATGCTATACGTTTGCTAAATTTGCAAACACCTACAGGTTGCCATCAGCCTAAGCCCTAACTTCCATCTCTATGACCTCATGGTGATCCTATTTTACTTTATCCCAGTACCGTTTGTATTTCCGGTTGAAATTATCTCGCCTTGAATTCATCATACGGTCAGAAATCAAGTGAAAATCAATGCAAATTGGGGGCCACCGTTTCCCTTAAAAGTACCATAACAAAACTGCCATCCGTTTTGGGGGGACCTCTAATCTGTCTACACCAACAAACGCAGAGAGAAGTAAAAGGGAGTTTTAAAGTGACTGAAAGATGCCCCAAGCTTATTATGCTTTGAAAATAACCCAACAGCTGTTGCGTCAGGTCTAACAAAATTTGAGTAATTTTGAAGGGATATTTTCTTCGAAATGCTGCGCTTTTAACTTCTCGCGATTTTGTAATTCAACAGCTTAAATTGGATTTGCGATAAACCCGGGGTTTATCTCTATGCTGAGCAGAGAATAAAATTCGAGATCCAGCTCAGCTGATAAATAGCCTACGCTCGTTTGCACACGTGTATTCCTCGTGGTAGCCAGCCGTAGCCAGTTAAAATGCTCGCTGGTCAACTGGTAATGCTGGAGAATCGATCAGCCAATCAGAATCTGTCTGGCAAACCTGACTAGCAAGTGGCCAACACATCCGCGAGCGAGCGAGCTCTAATCTCTCCCTCTCTCACCATAAACCTGGCAAGGGTGATAGGGCACTGCTCTGCGTCGTCGTCATCGTCGACTAGGCACGCCTACCACATCCCAACAACTGAAAATACGGAGTCGATATTTCCCCCTTCTAACGCTCGCACGCACACCCACTCACAGCCACCCCTAACCCCCTCAAGTGACTGGCCTATCACTGCCCTCCACACGGGAAATATAAAAAACCGTCCTGTAGTGAGACTGGCTCTCCGGGTGCAATCACACAGCGGTACTCATCCGGATCACAGAATCTACAACTGCGCTCCCCGACACCCGTCTTTATTCGATCCCCTTGACCACACATACACATCCAGGCACGATGTGGCGCAACTGGTTGTCGAAATCACCGACACCATCTCAGCACGCTGATGAAAGGGCCCGATCCGCAACACTGCCCAGAGCACAAACTCAAACCACTTCCGGATCCCCTCCTCGATCTTCCAGTTCAAAGCCCTCCAGAGAGTCATCGGCCACACGAAAGAAGGGTCCTTTCGACTTCCTCCGGCCTACGCGCTGGCGAACACTTTCTCGATCGAGGAGATCCTCCCCACAGCCAACTCAATCTGTCGCCAGCGAAGATGCTTGCCAAAAAGACAGTAGCGGATCGACAACTCCTACGAATACCGAGACTAGACCCTCTGGCCTCCCTCTCTGCTCCCAGGACACCATCTCGCTTGCAACGGACCCGGGGGAGCCTACACCCAAGTCAGAGGACGCGAACAAGTCCCTAAAGGCTGCTCTCACAGCAAACCAAAATACAGTGACTGGCGTCACCCCATCCCAGAGTCACGTATCCAAAAGACTGAGCCGGAAAGATTTGAGCAGAGAACAAACCCGACAGCACACCTTAAGGCCTTCATTTTTCCATTTTGCCAAAAAGACCACCGAAAATACCCACGGCCAGACGGTGAGTCACCCTGTTAGGTCAGTTTTCACGTCTAGAGGTGATTATTAACAACGTAGGTTCACATTGATTAGCCCCAGCTACCCAAAGAACAGTTTTTGGTGATTTAATCCAGATTTACTATGCCCGTGATCGATCAAAATCACCAGTGATGCAACATTTGACATGTCAGAACAGTAGGAACAACCACCTATGGTCAAGCAAAGCTTGTAGATTTTGATCGAAAAATGAGCTCAGTTACCATTATGCTTGGGGTTAAGTAATGTATAAATCAACCGAGACAAGTAATTTTAAATTGTAAGTGAAAAGCCCTCATAATCTCGGTGTCATAATTCTGAGAATTGAACAAAAACGTGACTATGCTTGGTGAAACTACCTAGAGTGAAAACCACGAATAGGAATGTGTAATAACTGTGCGCAGTTCGGACACATACACATATCGCTCTAGTGCTGATAGCCTAACGAATGAGTCATAAAACATTCACGATTAAGCCGCGTGTTACCAAAAACAGTCCAATTATAAAAACTGGGTAATTTGAATTTGCGTCCTAATCATGAAGGCCATTATCATTATGAACGTTTTTTCAGCTTAAAATGAAGAAAGAAATTTGCTGCCATAAATTATCTCTCTCGTGGAAATTGGTGTCTTCAATCTGGCAGTTTCTGTCGTTTTAAATTAAATCGTTTGTTTTAAATGATAGCCTTGATGGAAGGGCGAGAACGACTTTTAGCGACTGAGCTTTAGTTACGGTTGGTTTGGGCTAAAATTCGTGTTTTTCCTTTGAATCATATTATAAAATTGGTGTAATAGATCCTGAGTAATGCATCCGTCGGTTTTGTGATTACATTCCATGTTTTTTTACGTAATCATTGTCGACGCGGTGGCTATGACGACGACGTCTTGCTACCTTGAGAGAAAATACCATCATAATCATTTTGCTAGTACCTGAATAAATGAATTTTGGACCTATTTGAGTGAATTAAATTAAGATGTTAAGTCCATCTGCAACATCCTTCAAAGGTACTGCCGAGATGATGAACGCAGTAAAACAATGGTGAAGGAAAGAGCCTACATTTCCTTCGCAACTCACAGAAAAAACTGCAGACTTTTCGGTAAAGAAATATTATACACTAATTCAACCGCCCAAATCATCTTTACTATTCATCTTATTAAGTCACCCCCGCCATCCACTCTAACGGAGACGCATTATAGACAAGGTAAATATACAAAATGGAAATCGACATCAGTATGGGAACTAATCATTACAAATTCTCAAGCCAGATGTGATTGGTTCCTCCAGTTCAGTCCACCAATGGGGTTGATGTATTTCGTTTAAATTCATTTAAAATTGAAATTCGTTCAGTGTACTTGAGCTAATTTCTTTCATAATTCACCAATTTCCTTGCGAATTGTTTCCTACTGGGTAAAATCGACGCAAAAGCTTTTTATAATGCCTCGATGGGTTCGTTTACTTTGATGTCCAGTTGGTTAAAAAAGGGGATATTGACTACAATTTGATTGGTTCTCTCCAGCTCAATTCACCAATGAGGTTGACGTAAGTTGCTTCAATTCATTCAGAATAGCATTTATTTTGATATAAGCATCACTAGTAATTACCCTATTCCGACAAGCTCTAAGTTCCTAAAGAGAATCAATTTTCCTCATAACTTCTTGTGCATTGGGGAGAATCGACGTAAAAGCTTTTTGTACGAAAACGGCGGTGTCCAGTTTGGTAAAAAATTGAATTTAGCTTCGATTTCATAAGAGCCATTCAAAGTAGGACAAGTGCTTAGTTGTCTTGAAATGACTTTTTTTAATAATTGCAATTTATACGAAGAATGATTCGGTAAAATGTTGTGGGTAACGTCAAGGTGAGCACACATAATTCTTGCGTCAAATTTTGAATTTCCGGTCCCCAAGGAATTTTGTAATGGTGGATGGTTAGACGAGTTCCCAATTGACCAATAAACAGCCCCAATTTCTAACAAATACTGAGTCGCATTTGTTGACTGCTACATTAATGCTTGCTGCAATAAATGGCGTAAATTGTTATTTGACACCCAAGACCTAATCAATGTTTAATGAATCTATGTCCTACTTGTCTAATTTCTAAAATAATGGTCTAATTTTACTAAAATTTGTCTCATTATTGTTGAAAGTGCGTTGGCTAGCACTTAATTCAGGCCAAATATCGAGGGTAACACTTCTGTTCACGCACGATGCATTCAGTATGAAATGCTTGAAGTCTTGTTTAAATCGTCACCTTAATCAAGTTTGTATTTTAAACAACGACACATGAACCAATCATAGTTCTGCTAAGCGGTCAATTTGAGGTCAGGAATTGAAAGTTACGATTTATTTACAAGAAATGCGCAAAGTCATCTAAAAGAACAACAAAAATTTGTCTTCTTGCAACTTATACCAAAGATTGTGGCTTTAAACCGCAGTGGATGTACTATAATCAAGTGGCTAGTCGTGACAGAACGAGATCAATCATTTATAAATTGGTGCAAGCTCCCTTGGTCAGGCATAATTGACAGCACATATGAATAAGTAACAACCGACTTTAACTTGCCGCTTGTTTACACAATAAAGAGACCAGGTACGCCGTTTGTCCACGTGTGTGAACGATTAATTAGTTTATTCAGGTCTGTCAATTGATTTAACTCCGCCTTCACAGTTTTATGGGCACCAATGTCCTGGCTGTGGCACTTAGCTAATTCATCGCTTCAGGCAATCCGTGTACCTGTTCGGTCCCTCTTTCCTAGGTGCCTCATTGGTTAATCGCCTACGCGTACGACCTTGAGCTGGCCAATAAAGGGCTTTGTAAGGGTAGCCCATGGTCATCATCGATTATATCACTTTGCATGAGCACCTGGGTAGCCAAAGAATGTGACGTTCGACGAATTGTTGTTTTTTGAGTTTGAGATAAGCCGCAAAAATTTTTCCCCCACTTTAAAACTTAAACTATGTGTCAACTGCTTATCTCGTAACACTTGGCATTGAATCATTATTATTAAGCGCGTCTTGTCCACTATGTGTTTATTGGTTCAGCCATCTACAGCGCACCCACGAATGCACAATGGTCCAACCAGCATTCAGCAACTGGGTGTTGATTCAAGGGTTGATCGAACTCACAAAATGCGCGGCAAGCCCCTTTTGCCTTGTGCTGGTTTTGCGAGTAATGATCCAATAAACGGCCTGGTCAACTCAGTGTACTCCGAAACACCCAAAATAAACTTATATTAGTTACCAAGTATTTTGACTTAGCAGTGAAACGTCAGGTCAAGGTAACAAGCAAAAATTCTCCTGTAAATCGAACAGAATTACTATGCTTTAAAGTGATAATCTTTATTAATTTCAACAAGGAAATGGGAATGTCATAGCATTTTTGTCTTTGCTTGTGATATGATGGTGTGTGTATAGTCAAAATTCCACATTTTTACTACAAACTTTTAGCCTACTGGCAAGGTAACAGTCTTACAAGTAGTTGGGCATAACTCACAATCCGATCATGCGGTTCGTTCATTTTATGCCCTACTCTAGGTAAACAGAAGTCGCTGAAACACCTGGTAGGAAGGTAAATTTTTTTGGTTTTAAAAACTGCGCGCCTGAACTCAAAGGCCCGATAAAACAAGTGTTTGGGAATCGGTGGGTGGAAGGCACGCACGTTCTTTTGAAGACTCGTCCAATGTGTCCGCGAAAACAGGCAATTTCTGGTCCAGTGCGAACGAACTCCTTTGAAGTCGCGTCCGAAATTGTCTTTCTCATCTACTTGAAAAATAAATGCAATAAAACCATCGAGGCGTTTATGGCGGTTACCCTCCAAGTAGAAAGATCTATGTAAACCGAAAAAAATGCGTTTGGGAGTTTAGAAAAATGAGAGGAACACAGATGAAAAGGATTTTGAATGGAGCCATTATCAGCTCACTACATTTAAACAAATAGCTATACTAAATAAACGTTGTATAATTACCAACCCTTTCGGACGCTTTTCATTCTTTAGCAATGTCATCTAAGATTGGAATATTGGAGGAAAATTCTATGACGAGGTTCAACATGCAATATGGTTAAAAAGATCTAGTTTGAATGGGAAGTAAAGGGTCCGTAACACAGGCTTTGATCACTATAGTCTGCAAAACAAAATTTATTAATTTCATTGGTGGACAAGGTTGAAGAGAACCAATGAAAAGTGAGTGCCATTTCTGCCAAACGATTGACAACTTATTTTCAAAGACTTTCAGTCTTGTTTCGGCGCTTAGTAATGCTCCGATTTGGCTTACCGTTTTCCACTGTTGTCGAGACACTTTTAAGTGACTAAGATGTGCGTGTCGAGGAAAGGTTTAGTATTGTGGTTTGGTATCATTGGCTCCACCGGACCAAAAACGACGAAAAACATTTTAATTTTTAATTTTTCAACCAGCAGAGTAGAGACCTGAGCCTTTGAACAGTTAAATTGTTACCTTTTCAAATCGAGGGCTTATTTGACATGTGTAAACGGTCACTGGTCGTTATGGTAAACAGAAGCACTTGAAAAAAAAACCCACTGAACTGACAAATGGGTTTGTTTTGGACCGCCACAAGTTCAACGCATTAGTCCCTTTTTACTGATCGATTAACAAGGCTGCATTTAGTGCCTTCGCAAGTCACAATTGTCGTAAGGCCACGCCCCTTAATTGCATCGCCTTTCGTGGTAGTCGAATTCATAATTTGCGCATTCATCGCGGCAATGTGTACCTTGGCTGACTCATTTTTTCCGTCGATTTGACTTAATTTGTCATGCATACACACACCCCTAAGAAATGACAAAATACCCTATAAAATAATTTCAGTTGCACTTCACAAACACTGGGAAACCCAACTACTTTGCCAATTTTATCATTTCAAAAATTCAACTAGCGGAATCTGGTTCTGCGTTCCTACTCGGGAGGCATCGATCGATAAGTAATAGTAAGGTAACCAATAGTAACGCGTGTACGAATCAGTCGTAGCCCAAATGCACAATAAAAACAATTCCAGTTGTCTGACGTGAGTTGTAGTCGCATTATCA